GTATACCACCACAATATTCTATCGTGTGCAAAGTGAGATATGTGACGCGTGTTTCAAATGTCGAGTAATGGAATTTTCTGAAAGTGAAGGTGAGCTGACATTTGTGATAAACGACATTGATGGGAAATCATTTACAGTAGTATACAATGTTGGTTTGAAATCATGTCAATGCTCCTGCAAGCACTTTGAAATGTATGGGTGGTTGTGTCGACATGTTTTTGTCGTCTTGAAGGACCTAGGCCTAGAGGATATTCCCCCTGCACACGTCATGCCGAGGTGGACAAAACTTGCAGTTAGGAATCCTATGTTTTGTGTTATCAGCAACATTTCAGAGCAGTGCGCACAAATAGATGATAAGAAATTCATGATGAATAAGCTATGGTCGGACATACACATTTGCATGGGATTGGTTGAAGTGCGAATGGACTTAATTGTTGAGTTTTTCAAACTCGTCGGGGACCACAAGCGCAAGCTCTTAATCGAGGAAGAGGGTGGTTCGGACAAGACCGACAAGGAACAAAGTTTTGAGTCGTTTGTTGGTATGTCTGTCCCACAGGAAATACACATACAGCCTCCGACACAATCGAAAAACAAAGGAAGCGGGAAGCGATTGAAGAGTAACAAAGAGAAATCCATTGAACAGTCGCAGAGTAAGAGACGTATATGCAAGACGTGTGGTGAGAGAGCGGGTCACAATGCACGAACCTGCCCCAAAAAACAATGATATGGCGCTACCGTTCACACCGTACGAAGGTGCACACAATCCAAACAGAATTTACACTTATATATATTTATTATATATGTATATTTTTTTACTTTTTATTTTTTATTTTGTGTGTTTGCACTCAGGAATTGTTTTGTTCATATATACATAAATATATATTTTTCTTTCTTTTTCTCTTTAACAATTACTATGTCCACTGTAGGTAATTGATACATGCAACTGGCTGTGAACGATTGCTTCGATAAGGTATATTAGAATACTCATATGTATTATATGCATGACTTGTATGTATTATTTACAAATAAACATAATGCTTTATGCTACTGTAAAATAATCATGTACGTGTGCGTGTACTAATTCCGATGAGTTTACACGTGCAGACACCGATTGACGCCAACATGATGTGGTCATCTCTCGTGCGCGTGAAGACATTAGTTAAATTTTATTACAGCATGTTATGTAGTTTAATTGTTTTATTGTTTGTTACCAAGCATTATGGGTACATTGGTTCGACATTAATACAATCTTAGACTTATTGAATGTTGGGTGCACGATATACAATGAAGTGAGTATTTTACTATCCGAGTGTTTCAAATTAGGAGTAGTGTTACAAAATAGGAGCACGCACAATAGTGATATACAATCACGTACGCATGCACAATAGTTCATTTAAGATGAACATTACATATATTCAAATGCACTATACACATTTGGTGACCATGACATACACACGTGTATATATATATATATATAAAGCCTATCAGTGACTTGATATATGTACTATGTATTGATGGTTAAATGAAAAATATTAAGTGAACAAGAAAAATAAAAAAATATATGTATATATTTATGTTTTAACATTACGTGTATATGCTCAAACGACCAGCGCACAACAATGTTATTGTTGTTATGTTGTACAATATATTAGTGATTTGCACATCAATGTACATTGTGTTGCACAATATTTTTTAATGATTTGCAAACCATGAGTACCATAAATTGTGAACATGTGATTAATATAATATGATAAAAAATAAATAAATAAGTAAATAAATAAATAAATATTGGTAACTACGTAACTGATGGACACATAACTACAAATCCGAAAAGCTAAATAATCAGATAGTTATCAGTAAAAATATATATATATATATATAAATATCAATTAAAGCACAACACTACAACATAAACTGCACAATGAACATGTATGAATTGCACGTTATATATTGATGATAATGGTATTTTACAATGTCATGCAATATCTACATAAACGACCGAATATCCAAAAGATTAGTCGTACTATGTAATGACGTCAAAATACGCAAAACATCCATAAAGTCCATATGCAAAACGTCCCAAAAGATTAGTCGTACAATGTAATGACGTCAAAATACGCAAAACATCCATAAAGTCCATATGCAAAACGTCCCAAAAGATTAGTCGTACTATGTAATGACGTCAAACTACGCAAAACATCCATAAAGTCCATATGCAAAACGTCACCAATCGCACTGATATAATCCGGATCAGTAAACTACACAAAACATCGACAAAAGTCTACGATATACTAACAGTCGCATCATTGTCCAGACATTCTACAAGAAGCCACAAAAAGTCGCATTGAAATCCTAATATTAGCTTGCATTACATTGCTGTTTCTTTGCGATATACGATGTGTGGAATATGCTCGATTGAGTGAGATTGACATCCTTCAATTTGTTGTTTGGTGCACACGCTATAACATAGCTATATCGCTTCCTCATCAGTTTAATTTGGCCTTTGTCACCCTTCTTCAGATGTGGGTTCCATGTTTTTGCAACGCCACCCTTGAACGTTTCCATGTGTCGCATGGTGATCACCCCGACATCAGCATCGTCGACACCGTTGGTCCAAGCCGTGTCAGAAACTTCGGGAACAACCATTGCAATCGATTTAGACTTCTTTGACAAGTTCATCTCGCCTAAAAACTTTGAGAACGAACTTTGCTGCAATACGTGCAATAATGGTTACCACAAAACAACTAAACATGCAAGATTACTTATATCAAGCATAATTATTATAAGAATATTACCAACAACTCGGCACGTGACATGACGGATTTTGAAACAACACCTTTTTTGCGATTTTCAGCACTGTTTATAATAGTCAGCTTCTTGGAATCTGGAGCCACGCATATCAAGCCCGAAAACGTCCTAGAATGTACGGGAAATAGAAACTACAATAACATAAAAGGAAAAATCAACACATATACATATAAAGCAAAATAATCCAACAAGCAGATTTGTCAACGGGACAAATACCATGCGAATATAGTGATTAGTGCATACAAAAACTATGTGTATCGATAATGACACGCTTACCACATTAATCTGTCTCAACTTGTAAATCGACATTCGAGTGATCTCCACATCAAGTGAATCGGCAAACCTTTTGTAATTTATCTCTTTCTTCCGTCTCCCCTCAAAGAACAACTGTGACTCGCAACATCATGACCGGTTAAAAATCATATATGTAACATTACAATCTTGCAACATGAACATTTTTACATGGTATCATACCTCGCTGCATGGTGACGTCGAGGCGTAAAAGCATGTTACTGCACCACGGCTTCTGAGGTTCTCATTGTAATTTAGTATAAATGACCACAAGTCTATCAACTCCTTCTTAACCGTCGTGTTTGGCGTCAGACATGCCACAACAGACTTTTGAACAGTGTATTCATACGGCTCAGACGACTGGAATATAATCACACCCCTGTACATTTCATATAAACGTGCATCAATCGGAATTAAATCGCTCAAATACACGAAATTAACAAAAATCACTAACATATGATTGAATAAGATTTTAATACATAAATTATAAATAAAAGAGTATTCATACTCATCCGATGCATCATTCTTCATTATCCAGTTAACAACCATCCTCTCATTCCCGTCGAGCTTCTTGACCACGTCAATCGCCCTCTCTTTATAAGGGGATTTATTTGCACTGGTCAATATCACACGCCTCTTTGGTCTCGGAGACACATGCGTGACATCACCTCGAGCCAACTCACCATCAGCATCTAAACAAAACATACATAAGCATAAGTAAGAGCACGATATGTGTATTAAATTCATTAAACGTGCGTGTAAACTACAGGTATACCTTCTTCCGTTACACAATTCTTACTTCGCAGTCCAACGCCTTCACCAATCACCGGTTGGGCAGAAGCACAAACACCATCTACATAAACAATAATATTAACGCTTTAATATACGAAACTTGTATCACAATACATGAACACATAAACAACAAATTTGAAGAATACCTATTTGTACATCCATTCCAGGGGATATGTCGTCTGTTTGGTTATTTACACCGTGTACAGGACTAGCAACAACACCGCTGGTGCCTTGACGTGTTTCGTCTGCATCATCATCATCCGTCGAGAAGCCTAAGCCCAAGCTAAAACTAGGTACATCACATTGCATTCTCTTGAGATGGACACGCCGATCGGCTGCCTTCACAATTGCATCTAGTGCTGCCAACGTTTCTGGATTACTCCAGAATGCGTCGTCTGCGAACTGTGACGAAGCACCCTTCTCATTGTCCATAGCTACACCGCTTGTGTGGGCAGTGTGATTTTGCTGAGTTGTAACAGGATCGTCAGAATTCCCATTGGGCACTTTGTTATACACACCTAGGAGCTTATGTGCTGCGTCTTGCATCTTCATAAAGTTTTCATCACTTACTAGAACTTGTGGGGCATTTTCAACCAACTTTAAGATCTCATCCCCAATCGTAGCAAGAAGTCGGGTCTTAGATGCAAATTCTTGAACATAAGCCTGTAAAAAGAACATTGAACTCGTAAACGACAGAAAAAAATGGGATCATGAAATGAATACACAACAAACGCATATCAACACATTATCTTAATGCACATTTATGTTCAACAAGATGCACATTTTTATATGAACTGCAGCACAATATACAAAGCCAATATGAACATACAGTAAATGAAAAAAAATGCAACCGACTTAAATTGATGACAATCCAATATGTGAGGACAAATACCAATCGTTGGCTAAAAAATCTAAAACAAACAAATGAATCACAAAAAATACGCACCTCATCAGTCATGTGCGATTGATATTTATCCAGCTTGTTTATTGATATACACAAAAATTTTGTTGTTGTATATTGTTTGGTAATATACACTTATAAAACAACTTATTATATACCTGTACGCTATGTTCCATCGTGCTTTTGGGCTCGCCGTCGTTGGTTGACACACCGGCTTTATCCAACGGCTGATGGTGGTTACCAACAATCATAGACACATCTGTGTCAACAAACCCCCTACCAAAACCTCCAGACAAAATTTCCGCCCGTTCCCTATCCCTCAATAGCTCGTTGCTCCATGACCGAAAAGTCGGAAATACTCGTGCAACGGATCTCATCGACAGCACTACCTTGTCCACGTAAAATAGCTGTCACAAACATACATACAAGTTCAATTAATAAATATATATGAAATGCGTCAAACGGACGGACAGAAAATATATACAAATAATACAATAAAGAAGCAAACACGCACACAAACACACAAAATAATAAAGACATAATAACTAACCGTCAGAAATAACAAAGGGCCTGTATACTTCTTTTGTCTGCCAACAGCATCCCACGACTTCTTTGTGTCAACGAGGCATCGAATCATGTACGAGCACCAATCCATATTGCAAACTTTTGTTAAGTCATCGAGCATGTGGACCAAACGGAAATTTGCCATTCCGTTTGAAGAGCTTTCGAAGAGGCATGTCACCATAAGAACAATAAAGTGGCGTTTAAACCAGTCACCGCCGTCTACACACTCCTGGATCTTATCTGCCACCTTTGACGCTGTGATATTTGACGGTATTCTGACATTGAATAGCCCAACCCACTCATCGTGCAACTCCGACGTGACTCTCTTCTGTTTGTTTCTAATTACAATCTCTCCGCGAGGCAGACCT